GACAGACAGACAGACAGACAGACAGACAGACAGACAGACAGACAGACAGACAGACAGACAGACAGACAGACAGACAGACAGACAGACAGACGGACGGGGCAGACCTCCACTTCCCCGGTGAGGGTGGTGCAACTAATGGCAGCCGAGGACAGCACCCTTCGCGAGATGTGCCTTGCTGGCGTGGAAGTCATGGACTAACAGTCTCGAGTCCAAGGTTGGGAATAAGGCCACGGCATCACGCTTCCACACGTCCTGGAAGTGGTGGGCGAGCGCGCACAGTTCGGCTGCATCGCGGCCGCGACGGCAGAACAGGGCAGACGATCCGCACCCGGTCGCTAACCGCAATGTACATAAAGCCGATTAGCGCATGCTACAATATCGGACCCCGATGGCGGGCTATTGGCGACTTTTCTTGTGTGTGTGTCCAACTCTCAAGGAGAGCTAAAGCAATTTCCTCGTCATTCGCAAAATGGAAAAGAAATGAGTAAAAGCGATAATTTTTCAGCTTCAGTTTGACAACTGTCCCTAATCGGTGTCCGGAATTTTTCTTCCATGTTTTACAGAACCATGGATTACGAACAAGAAGGGAACGACATCACGATCGATGACTTCATCGCGGAGCACTGCGAGGGCGAGAGCGAGATCGCCAAGTTCTACGCCGGCAAGATCCTGTTCGTCACGGGCAGCACCGGCTTCTGCGGCAGCATCCTCCTGGAGAAGATGATCCGGTGAGCACTGCTGGAGACTCGCTGGAGTAGGAGGGAGATATGTATGGAGGAGGGGGGGGGGAGGCCTTCGAGGGGTACTTCACTAGAAATTCAAGCGTACCCCCATTTTTCTGATTTTACTTCTTTTTTTTCACATTTTTCATTTCTCTGATTTTTTCTTATTCTTCTTTTTATTTTATTTTTCTTCTTTTGTTCTTTTGATTTATTGATATTTTTTTTCTGAATTTTTTGGGGAATGTGTAAACTGATTTTTGAAGTGAAGTCCCTCTTGGGGAGTTACGGACACGCACGCGCCCCCCCGTCCCCGTCCCGGGGCCGGTGAGTCGGATGGGTGGCCTACCTGACGGGGGTCTGTCGATGTTGCTCCGTTCTCACGATGTTCTCCGCTCTTTCGCTGCTCACACAGGTCGTGCCCCGACGTCGAGAAGATCTACGTGCTGATGCGGCCGAAGAAGGGCAAGTCCCTGGAGGAGAGGTTCAAGGCGCAGTTCGAAGGCGACGTAAGTCCCGCCATGTGTGCGCCCCGCTGCACGTAAGGATACGTCACCGTCGCTTCGCTTCTTGAGTTTAAACTTGCCGCCGTGCTCCAACAGCTGTTCGAGCGCCTCCGCAGCTCCAGGCCGGGCTTCCAGCTCAAGGTGTACCCGCTGGAGGGCGACTGCTCCCAGCCGCGGCTCGGCCTCAGCGACGAGAGCGTGGAGAAGCTCAAGGAGACGCAGATCATCTTTCACGTGGCCGCCACCGTCCGCTTCGACGAGAAGATGAGGCTGGCGGCCGCCATCAACGTCCAGTCCAACATCGACCTCCTCAACATCGCCAGGACGATGCCTGACCTCAAGGTAAGGGCGGGTACATACATCATAGGGTCCTTATGAGGTAGTATTTGTACCCCTACTAGGACACGCTAGCGCCAAAAGGGCTCATAGGAGCCCCATGAAATATATGTCCCTCGGGGTACAAATATCATGGGTGCACCTATGAGTTGTTGAGGTAGAACTGTCATTATATTTGTACCCCGCCCTCTCGAACACGCCCCAGGCCGCTCAAAGCACTGCATTCCATTCGAGCGCTGTTTCGTCCCTCCAAGTTAGTTGCGTCACACTGCGAGTGGAGGACTGTTTGTAGGGGATAATTGCCTTGCAAAGTGATCGCCAGTGCCGAGGCGGGGCGGGGCGGGGCGGGG